CACACACACGTACACACACAGCTGTTTCTGAGGTGGAAATTACATGGGCACATCTGGAGTGGAACTTAGCAGTTGCAAAAAATGCCTACAGATATGTGCCAGGTCCAGGTAGAGCTCTTAATGTGTGTGTTTCTGAGTGTGTAGCTCAAGATGGTGTGATACTCTGGCGGCAGAGACCTGGTCGTGTGCCCATCTAATGTTAAATGCGGAAAATTCATTTCAGACAAATGCAAATCTACACCGAAAAATGCAATGAGAAATAAACATACTCGCGTTTGCACAAACACATAGACATTCATAAATCCAAAGTCCATTCTGCTCCTGAAAACTGGAACGTGTGCTGGTTTTCCTATCCTTATAGGGAGAGAGAAAATAAACCGCATGGTACTCTGATATATACCATGATACCTAATGATTACCATATTCACATACAGTACAATGCTATTTACACAGTATTCCAAAATAAAGAATATCTTGGTATTCTGTGGTACATGCCCAAAAAACATGGTATTACCATTGTACATTTACAGAAAACCTGGTAAAATCTAAAAAAAATTATATATATATATATATATATATTATATGGTCATGTTTGAAAATACTAAATAATATGCAATTATCTGCTACTGTCAAATAATAAAAAATATATAAGTTCATTTATAGGCTAATTCAGTGTTTCCCAACCTTTTTTTAGTCGCGGCACCCTTTGGAAATTTTAACAAACTTGTGGCACCCTACAAAATTAATTTTGTCACAATATTTGAATTTCTAACTTCGTTTGAAAAGTATGAAAAGTATAGATATTCGGTACAACAGGGAAGAACTGCAGAATATAATGTCATACAGATATTATTAAAAATATATAAAAAAATTTGTCCATCAATGGTGGCAATCAGTAGGCTAATTTCTAATGAAGAGACCAATTTATATGACAGATTTTAATGTAGGCTTTTATTCATATGTAAACACTGTGAGATAGCTAGTTATAATGGTAATTAAACAAAGTTTTGATTTTACAGCTGGGTAATTTTGTTGCAGTAGCACGAGATAGCTTGATTTAAAACTTTGAAGTGAATAAAAAATGACAAGGAGGCTAAACAGTTAATAATAAAATAAGAACAAATAAAGAAATTACTAATGATAGCACAAATAAAAAAAAATCACGATAGGCCTGAATTGAATAAATTGAATAAAAAATGACAAGTAAGCAGTCAGTAATAAAATAAGAACAAATAAAGAAATTAACACAAATAAACTAGAAAGCTATTATCATCAGAGGACACATGAGCATAACGGTTAGCAGATCAATGAATGAGAGGGCAGCGTTACCAGAGTTGCCCATATACCACACCATGTTACAACACAGTAGGGCTATTGCAGACAGAAACAATACTGTACTGCATCGATGTTTCCTGTCGGCTCAATTTTTGGACTTTGCTGTTCCGATGAGCATGAACGGTATACGAGTGGAGCGACTGAGCGGAGCGCACACACATAGAGCGAAATAATACGCAGAGCGTCACATCACGTGAAAGTGAAACCTAAGCGGTGAACTAATTTTCGGCAGCCGAAATTTCGGTGCATCTCTAATTATTGGCAACATCAGAAATGGATATTATATAATAGATGCTTTTTTGAACATTTTAGCAATTTAAAAATATTAAAAAATTATTTTTACACGGCACCCCTGCTCTCGACAGACGGCAAACTTTTTTTGGGAAACACTGGGTTATACAATAATCATTCGGTCTGGGATAAAAGAAAAAAGCTAAATGATCTGTCCGTCCAGTCTATAATTCACACCTACAAATCCAATTCTCACAGTGAGAGAAAAGAGAGAGTGAGACAGGAAGATTAAGCGGAGATATGAGAGAGACAGATGAAAACCGAAAGAGGGCAATTAGGAGAGAAAAAGAAGCAGAGAAAAAGAACAAGAGAGAAAGAGGGAGATTAGGAGGAAATATGAAAGACAGTGAGAGAATAGAGAGTCTGCCGGTGTGTGTGTGTGTGTGTGTGTGTGTGTGTGTGTGTGAGAGAGAGTAATTATCCAATGGCAGCCCATGCACTCACCTGCATGTTGAAGACTTCATCTGAGCTCTCTGATTGGCCCGTGATGTTGCTCACCTCATTGGAGGCCTGCGACGAAAGCGAGGATGAAGAGTAGCGGTTGACTGCTGGGTAGCTGAGGGGACTGAATGACATACAATAAAAATGCAATTAGAAAGACTTTAACAAGTAGCATTTTTTATTTTTTAATGCTATGTCATTTTCATGGTAAGAATAAAGTGAATAACAGGAGTCACACAATTATAAGACAATTAATTTAATACAAGAGAAAATTCTAAAATACATTCAGGTGATACTTTTTAAGATCCGTTAACCTCTGAATACAAATGTTGTGTATTAACAAATATCATACAATTCTGCTGAAAATTAGTGTAGAATTTACTAGAAGATTAGTAAAGTTATAATTGACATTTTAGAAGAATATTAACTCCTAATCAGCCAATATGTTGGTATCTGTCGCAATTGGCTTATGATCAATATTGATTGATAGATCAACTGACATCTCAATGAATAATTAATATTTTCTGCTTTCAAAAATTGTAGCATATTTATCTTTGTGTCATCATAACATTCTTTACGTAAATATTATATTTATATTATTATTTTTAAAATAATTTTGACAATAAAAAAAAATAATGTGGGGAGGGACTTTTTCCATTTTACCCATTGAGATTTGAATACATTTTGAAAAGTAGGTTATATATTATTGACAAAAAAATGTCACCGCCCACTTTGTTTTCTTTAAAATAATGCAAAAAAATAAAACTCTAAACTGTGGTATACTGTAAGGCTGTAAATGTGGGATGCCGCACTGTGAATTAAAAAAAGTTTCAATCGCGAGAAAGAGACACAATTCAGTCACAATTATTAGAAAGAACTGTCCAAATTGTGACAAATTCACTAATTTATGTAATCTTAAAAAGAAAAAAAATATCTAAATAGTTATAAAGTAACGAATGTAAGATGACATTTGTCAAAATATGGAGAATTAATTATGAGAAACGGCCTCCATAGCAAGAAATAAATCTTAAATGTGAGCAATTATCATAAAAAATTTGAAATTATAAAAAAATGAAGCCAAAATGGTAAAATAGTCTCAATAGCACGAAATAAACCTCAAATGCAATCATTATCAGAAATAAATAAGAAATAAAGTCTGAATTGTGAATCAGTAGCGAGAAATAAATCTCAAATGTGAGAAAAAAAGTCACAATTATCCGACAAAAAGTTGCAATTATAAGAAATGAAGTCCAAACTGTGGAAGTCTCAATAAAGAGAGAAATAAGGGTCAAATGTGAGAAATAAAGTTGCAATTATCAGAAAAAAGCTACAATTGTAAGAAATTATAAAAGTCCAAATTGTGAAAAAATTGCAACAAATTTTGAATTAATTTTATGTAAACAAAGATCTGACAAATCAAGAGCAATAAGATGAAAGACATTTAGTATTAAAGCAGCAAACAGGATCCATTTTTATTTCATGTTGTCTTTAAAACAGCTCGCTTCATAATTAAATGATCAGCAAAATATTTTATCCCCCTTCAGTCTTTAAAAGTTCACTTTCATGCTTGTAACTGGCGTATATCCATGGTTACTGTCTAGACAACAGCATCATGTGCTCGGCTCTGGAGAGTTCCTGGTTACTAAGCAGCACGGGCACGAAGGGAAGACCTACAGAGACCCAGCTTGTGCGGATCATAACAGCTAAATCCCAAATGGCGGTGGAGAAACAGACGTGAATGATGAGTGCGAAACATCATAAATGTGTGTCAAATCTGGTGTAGATTAGATTTGGTTTCTTGAGACAAACCTGCTCAAACATGAGCTCTCGGAGACGGACGATTTTGTCTCCGTCTTCGGGGTGATTCATGATGTAGTCCTTCACGAAGAATGCCTGCGAGAAATAAAAGAGACACAAAATTACACTCCTTAACCACAATGCATTGTGCCTCGCCAGCCTCCACATATTTTGTGGTGCGAGTTAGAATTTACCTTGACATCTTTAACAAACAATATCACGCATAGTTTGGTAAAAATTTGATTAACTTTCTGTTTTAAGGGACATGAAGCGCTGCAACCAAATGAAGTGCAAAAATATGAGCTTAAAAACATGCATGTTTTCAGATCTTGTAAGCTACGGGGGAAGGAGAAAGAACAGACGGTGTATCTGTGTCCGATCTGTTCCAAGGACGATGGACTGGTATCTCCAAAGAAACAGTGGGAGAGCAGAAGCTTCAGGAGGCAAAAATCTCAGACTTCAAAGATTCCACCATGCAGATTTTTCCATTGCCTTCAGTATGACATTTGGCCTGAACAGCAACCGAATGCTACTGGCCGATGCCCATTTTAACTGCAGCTGCACGCTACACCTGCAGATCACTAAAGGCACTCACAACGAGAGAGAAAAGTTTTAGCGACAAAGCGGCTGGAAGTCATTGATTTTGGCAACTTTCAAATGCATATAGTTTTGTGGGAAGAAAAAAAAACGTTTTTTTTGTTCTCACTATTAACTAACTATTAACTACAGTTTAAGTACAGGGTAGGATTAAGGGATTTAAATTATGGTCATGCAGAATATGTGCTTTATAAGTACTAATACACAGCCAATATGCTAGTAATATTCATGCTAATAAGCAACTAGTTAAAGGCATAGTAAGTGATTTCTGGTAGCCAATGTTGACATTTGAAATCACCAAAACATGCACTGAACGCTCTCTCCTCCACATTACGAGTAGACACGCCCCTTATTGCTGATTGGCTACAAGTTTGTTTTGCTATTCGGCCCGAATCAGTTTTCTAAAGTGTTTTTGAAAAATCACATACCCTGCCTTTAATAGTGATAACTTTTCATTATTATTATTAATAAATATTCATGCCTCCATTTTGTACATATGTTCCAGAACAGTGCATTTTTCCTTGCCAGTGTCACGTTTAGTATACTCACTGCTTTGGATAGATGTATATTATATAAAGCATTATACAAATACGTTTTAATTGAATTAAAAAAAAAAAATGTTTCTCTTATATTCTAATTAAATAATTTAAATAAATTAAATAATTTGATTTAAATTAAAGATTTTCTAAATAATATTTCTATTTTTTTTTTTGGCTTTGGTACAATGAGAAAAAAAAGGTAATTAATTTTGCAAGTAACATTGTCTCGACTATAATATACACTACTATACACTATTTTCCGTACACAGTACAGGTTTATGTACTTTCCACAAAAATACTAAGTAACAAAAATGAATGGAGTAATGCTGTGGAAAATTTGGAATAAGTAAAATTTTACGATATATTAAAATACAGAATAACATTTACTCTCAGCATTATAAAATGTAAATACTAGTGCTGTCAAATGATTAATCGTGATTAATCACATCCAAAATAAAAGTTTTTGTTTATGTGTGTGTACTGTGTATATTTTAACATTTTTCTTAAATATATACATGCATGTGTTTGTATTTATATATACATAATCAGCCCTCTACGAACACCTTGGCAATTGAATCATCATTGGCTAGTAAATTTTTTTGTTTACTCGCCAGACTGATAAAATATATACATACACATATCAAAAAAAAAAAAAACCCAGTGAAGTTCACCAAACAACCCAAAAACAATGGATCAAAAGTTTGAAGTCAGTAAACCTTTTTATTTTTTTTTATTGCATTTAATGCATTAAATTAATGGGGGAAAAAAACAATAAAGACTTTTAGATTTCTATTTTAAATAAATAAACGCTGTTATTAGTCAAAGAATCCTAATATATATATATATATATATATACACATATATATAATATATCTGAGCTAAACTTATACTTAGCCTTCAACACACACTGGCGTGTAAAATCTGAGAATTTATTAGCAATTGGCTAATATTAGACATCATTTAGTCGCCAGAGTGAAGATTTAGTCGCATATGCGAGTGATTTACTCGCAATGTAGAGGGTTGATAATTAATATACACAGTATACACATATATTTTGTAAAAAACTTTTATTTTGAATGTGATTAATCGCGATTAATCGTTTGACAGCACTAGTAAATACTAATAAATATAATAATATTCCTTATTGTGAATAAGATTATTTTGCTACACATTAAGTTTCTCTTTAGTGACACACCAAATGGTTCCATTTATAACCAATTAAGTTGAAAAGTGTGAATATTAATAAAGGAAACTATCAACATTGGTTTCCAAAAAAAAAAAAGTGCACGATAAGTATGTACTACAAGAACAAAACACTCACAGTCATTGGCTGCGCATTCACATCTGTGATTGCATCGAGTTTCTGATTCTGACCTTATGGTGTGGTGGGTGAGTTTCATGAGATCTACTTACCAGCTCTCTCCTCTCCACTTCAAACCAGCGTGAGATGCCTGGGAGACTCTGAACAAGCGTTAACGTTGTTCTTTCTACCCACAAGCTCTGAAATTCAAAAGCAAATGCTCATTGACAAACATCAACCGTCAGAGAAAGTCCAAGAGATCCCATAAGGCAAAGCGGTAACAACATATTCAATGAACGAGTGACTTTCCTCCTCCAGTATGTATAAAACATATCATTTAATCTACACTTTAAACAGCTCATTCTCAGCAACACAGTCCGCTTATCAAGCCACACTGCTCCACATATTAAATTTCACATTCATAAATTCATTTCCCATCCAGCACAGCCTGAGAATTAACCTGAGCTGGCGCAGGTATAACGGAGGAAGCTCTGTAAGAACTTCAGATGCTTGATTGTGATATTCAATCCAATATAATCGTATCATCTGGATAGCGTCTCAGCCGAAGTTTACCTCTAAATGAGATTTTCAGACATTATTACTGTGCGGTAAGTGGACCGGGGTGGTGAGTACCCTCGGTGTCTCTGAGAATATAATATCTGGCAGGCTAAACAGTTTATTTCAAACACGGTAACCACCAGAGGTCGGGGGAAATCAAACCCCCGCGGTGGATCGAATCCATGCAGAGGCTGTGATTGTCTATGCTGGATATATTGAGTGATAGGGGAAGGGAAATGATATTTGGAAGGAGTGCGTCTCTCAGCCCCTAAAACTTTAATTAGCCTCTCTGGACCAAGGCTGTGAATAATGCAGCATGTGAGAGAACACCTGAGATCCACACACACACACACACACACACACACACACACTGGCCGCCAGACGCTGGAAGTGAAGGAATGAATACACAAGAGAGAAGAGGAAGAGTGAAAAGAGTGATGAGAAAAAAATGACATCAAAAGAATGCCCGGAAAAGATGGAATGAAAAATCCCAGAATGAAAAACTCACACATTATTTACTCACCCGCATGACTTTTTTCTACCATCTACACATTTTGAAGAATTTACTGGTCAGTTTTGGCCCATGCATTTACAATGAACATGGTCAGGAGCCTTCAAGCTTCCAAATGGACGTATAGGCACTACAAAAGCAATTCATATGACTCATGTACTAAATTACAAGTCCTTAAAAGTCATACAATAGCTTTTGTAAGAAACCAAATCATCATGATTCTGCCAGATTTACTGAATGGAAACGGTTTGTGTTGCACACTGAGTTTAAGTTGTTATTTACTGAATATCTTCTCATGCGCCCCAGATTTTCTTGGCACATTCACAAGAGTTCATGAGAGAGGTAGTGGTGTCAGATTTGTGACCAAATCATTCTACATTTTCCTATTTCAAATGAATCAAAACAGCAGCCAGCACATTCTTCAAAACATCCTCTTTTGTGTTTCACAGCAGAAAAACAGTCATACAGGTTTGGAATGATATAAAGGTGAATAAATGATGACAGAACTTCAATTTCTGGCCGAACAATTGTGGCTACTAGCTCACCTTAAACTCATTTTCTTTGTCTTTGGTGCCCTTGTGAAACGGGCGGTCGTAGCGAAACCTCCAGATATGGTTGACCTTATAGAAGCTCTTGATGTTGTCAGGGACGCCATCACGCTGCAGGACGTCCTGGCTATCTGGGATTGGTGTGACAGCATAAATCTGCAGATCTGCATGAATGATTCGTCAAGGAACATGCAATACGTGTCGCTCGAACACAAATGCATTTGAATAGCTTCTTGAACAACTAAAAGTAACTGTATTTAAATAATTAATTATATTATATTATATACATTTTCTGTATCTTTACAAAAGTAAGTGTTTAATAACAAATTTTGCTTTGGTATCTCCTACTTCACTCCCAGTCCAAATGCAGACAGTACAGTTGGAAATCATCCTCCGCAAATGTTTAAATAACCAACATCTTGTGCCTCACAGACGTAAGGTCTCATCAGCACATAAATATGAATCGAGCAAGGCAGACGTCCAAGAAGGCAAATGATTAATCGCCGGCTTGGATAACAAAACGCTGTGCTCATGTAGTTTGACCGGCCCTGTCTGCTCTAATTGTGCTGAAGAGGACGTCACATATTCACCGAGCGCCTGGCCTCCAGGTACATGTCACATCAATTGAACAAATGCTCTCCTGCGACCCACCGTCTCCATGCCTGATATGCGTTCTGAGAGGGAGGGGATTGATTTTCAGCCACATGGACGTGTATTTAAAGCGGGCAGTCCTGGCCTTGTGCTTGTTCTGAAAAATATCGTAAGGCCTGCTTCACAGTGCATTGATTTACATAAGGTAGGGTGTCACATTTACATCCAAATGCTAATTTAACCCACACCAAATGGAACTCAAAACCCAGAATTTTGCGATAAACTGCTTAAATCAGCAGGATTCTGCCAGATTTACTGAATAGAAACATCTGTGTTACACACTAAAGTTGAATACTTTATACTGTTAGGGGTTAGTTTAAATTTGTAAGCAATAGTAATGGTGACACATGCATTTGTGCTGCTAATAGTAAAACTAGTAAATCAGTTAGTTAGGGTTAGTTAGTTAGCAAACTGACATGAGTTAAAGGAACTAGGACAATAACTACACGAGAACAAGAGAACAACTCTTCAAAAAATAAATGTGCAAGTATAAGACTCTCTGGTGTGCAAGTGTGTGTGTTCGGGAAAGAGAAGAGATGCCTCGAGGATACATTGGGCTTCAGCCTGGTAGATGGTCTGGTCAGGCTGGTTGGCGTGTTGCATTGCGATGGCATGAGGGAACTCATTGAGCATGCGCTGCTGGAATGCCTCCAGACGCTCGTAGTCATGACCACGGCACACAAACTCCTTATTCTGTACCACACACACAATATATATACAAACATTCTGGTTAATACTGACACCAAGTGGACTTCAGAGTTACTGACAGTGACATCTGATATGCTGCAGGATGTCAGGATGACACATACCCGTAGAAAGAAGGGGAACTTCTTGCCGTAGAAGCCCACTCTGAAGAACTCTGGCTCCAGACGCTGTTGGTCCATTATTTTATCATAAAACGAAGCTTCCATCATCTGTGATTTGCAGTCATATAATTAGCAGAAAATACAGTTAATACAGTTTTTCAGCTAAAGGGGCCATATTGCACACATTTGATGCATTTAATCAACTTAAAGTTAAAGTTTCTTGCACTAAAATATTTTAGTTGTAGATGACAATTTCTACATTCTCATTTGAATTAGACAGTTTTTTTATACTTTCTAGAGTTACGTAAATGACCTCTGTTATGATTGACCAACATTTTTTTTGCATGTGAAATGATGTACTGTTGATATGCACTGTAATTGTAGGTAATCTTATGTTAATGAGACTCTGTTTTCCATGCTATGATTCTGTTAAGAACTGGCTAAATGCAAACAACTGCCATATTACATAAAGAGTTTTAACTCACCCTCATTTTGCTGAGGTTTCTATAATCATAGTAGGATTCGTACTGGTCCGCTAACTCTCTGCACAGGATGATGCCATTCTCCCAACACTAAAGGGGTAGAGAGGGGTATTTTAGTTCACATGCAGTTTCATAACTGACCAGCAGAAGCCACTAGAGCACTATCAGTACTTTGAGAACCAAGGACTTAGTCAAAATTGCAAGAATTCAAAGGATCAAATGAAAAAGATGGTATGGGGAAATTTGTTGGCTGCTCTTACTTCAATATCTGGTCCACATAAAATAAAAAAATACATAACATAACATATAACACAACACAACATATAAAATGCAGTTTATATCTTCCTACAAAATGTATATTTATAGTAATTTATCTTGGCAATCTTGATGTTGAAAAAAAACGGCTACATATTTTGCTATAATGATTAAAATTAGTACTGTCAATCGATTTAAAAAAACGTAACTAATTAATCACACTTTTTTCTGAAATTACAACCTAACATTTTTTTAAATATCGTTTTTAAATATACTTTTATATTGCAATAATTTCCCATTCATCTTCAAATTAATGTAGAAACAACAAAGACAGTATATTTTTTTGAATGGCAAAATTTAATTTGTTTAATGGCATCTTTTTTATTCCTGAAGGCGAGTATCACTGATACCAATACTACTGATGTCTCTAGGAAATTGTTTTCTTTTTCCTAATATTTAACCATTGACTATAGCCATTCAGCATTACAGTAGAATTGAGAGCTAATTATTTTAACATTTAGTAGACTCTAAAAAATAACAACTTCTAATTTAAGTGAACTTAAAACAATCTTCGCATAAACCCATTATAATAAATATCATATTTAGCTTCCTGTGCCCTTCGGCAAGTAGGAAATATAAAGAAATTGAATAAAGTTATCAAACACTAAATTCTAAATTAAATATAGAGGACTCCTTAAAGCTAAAAAAAGTAGCTGATTTCCTCGTTTTTTCTTTTGTTCTTTGATGAACAGACATCACAGCAGCTGGTTATTAGGTTATTTTGACTGCTTTAAGAGCTGCCGCTGCTGAACATGACGCAGATCTGACACGCATCGGATTTCCTCACAACTCTTTATGTTTTCTGACCCACTTCAGGACTTAAAGTCTCTACTAATGAGCTGACGGGTTGAATCGGGTGTGTTAGATGAGGGAGACTGCTCCAGGACAGTTTTGAAAACCACTGCATTTCAGAAACATGTTCTTAAATTTGACTCATAACAAATATTTACACACATGCACAGTTTTAAGGCAACTTTAATCACCTTTTTGGAAACTTCATGACTTAACTGATGACATAACTACGACACTGCATGATTGTAGTTTCTTTTGCGCTTTAATATGAAATTATAAACAGCGCGTGCCACTGCATTTGTATTTGAGGAAGCGTTTCAGTCCCATTGCTTCCTAATCCACCAGCACAAGAGTTGGCTTCAGCCATGAGGAGAGCAGACAACAAACGCACTGATTTTTATTCTCATCAAGTGATTAGGTGATTGAGGTTACTGATTATGTAAATGCCATTTAGTTCTGAAGGACAACTACTCGAAATACAATCACGTACTAATAATTTAATACCGGGCTGAGAGGAGCCACGTGATGAGAAATGAAAAAACGGGGAGGATGGCAGAAAAACCCAGACCTTTCCACGGTCAAAGTTTTGGATGATGGTGAGGTGCAGATACTCCTTCCTCTGCCACTCGCTCTGCATCGGGTAACTTAGAAACTCCCGCAAGGGTCTCTCGGACCATTCCAGCAGCTCGTCATACAGTAGAAGTGTATATGAGGCCTCTGCACACATAAACACGTCATCAAAATATATCCGTTAACCGTATCTTCAAAGTAATTCTGGTTCACGTCATGCTTGAGTACCTGTGTAATTCTGTGCTTTCAGATGCAGGTCATACAGCTTGTGAATGTAGCGGATGTACATTTCCTCTTTGTTCAGCTCTGTTTTGTAGAAGTTCTGCAGAGAGGAGACAAAAAGTGGTGGACTGTGGATATGAAGTGACTGACTTTCACTGTGGGCCTGGTTACTATGAACAAATTCATATGGATAAACCAAGGAGACTTGGAGAGGAAGTACAGAATGCAGGAAATCACTCCAGCAATGGGAAGTCCACAATACAGCGATGAAAAGACTTTAATGTTTCCTCTGTGAACTAAAGCGCTAAATCACTTCCCTTGTTAACACTCAAGTCTTGAACTAAACACCAAACTGATACCATTCACAAACATTTAATCTAAAAGACAAAGCGAAACACAAACCAGACCACCAGTTTGTCTAACTGGCCTGGTTACTATGAACAAATTCAATGGAAATGGGAAGTCCACAATACAGCGACGAAAATAATTAAATGTTTCCTGGCAAATACAGAGTAAATAATACTGACAAATAATGGCAGAAAAGATTATAAATAAACGTACCAGCAGACTGACTGTACAGCCAATCTTTTTTCCATCCACTTCCCCCAACTTCATACAGTCTCTGTAAAACAGAAAGAGTGTATCCATGAGCCAGAAGTGCAGAAATTAAGAACAATGAAGAATTGTTATTTACTTTATACATTTTAACTTTAGGTTAGGTCGAAGTTAACTTAAACTTACAATTTTTAAATGCATATTTAATTTTTTTCACCAATTAAAAAAGTAAGATGAAAACAATAAGTAGCTTCATTACCGTTTTTGTTTTACTAATTTTTTTATGCAAAAATACTAAAATATATCACATTGGGGAGTAAATATATTTCAAGCTGTAAGTGTTTCAATGCACAGCAATGTTCAAATGTTTGGGGTCAGTTTTTAATGTTTTTGAAAGACATCTTTTATGCTCCGCAAGACTTGCATTTATTTAATACAATATGCAGTAAAAACAGCAATTTTGTAAAATATTATTACGATTTAAAATGTTTTCTATTTTAATTTGCTTTAAAATGAATTTTTTTTTCCTGTAATGCAAAGCTGAATTTTCAGCATCATTACTCCAATCTTCAGTGTCACATGATCCTTCAGAAATCATTCTAATATACTGATTTGCTGCTCAAGAAATATTTCTTATTACATTTTTTACTACATTTTTTTACTTTCACTTTCAGTTTAATCTATCCTTGATGAATAAAAGTATTTAAAAAACATGATTGACCCCACACCTTTGAACAGACGTTTTTCAAAAGGGCAGCTTGTACTATTTTGAATTACAAGTATATTGTATCTTGTATTTTGTGCACATCTGTACAGCTGGGTATATTTCACCTATAGTCCAGCAGTCGCTCCATCAGCCGTGTGACCGTGGCTATAAGGGATATCCCGCTTTCTCTCCACGTCTCTCTCTCAATCTTCTTCAACAGACTGACAAGAGAAAACGAACACGGCAGAGAAGGAGTCATACTATCATATTACCCATCATGCCCTGCACACTCACACCTGTCCAGCAGAACAGTGATTAGTGATCATCTTACCTAGGATATGGACCGAACAAAGGAATTCTAGTCCAGAGCAGCATAAACAAAACAAATTCATATTAATAGATTAAATGTCCACACCAGCCACTCAAACTCAGTTAGTACAGTTAGTACGGTTAGTAGAAAGCAGAGAAATGAAGAGAGATGAACAAGTTAATTAATAAAATCAGCTGCCACGCCAAAAACCTAAAATCAATACAATTATCATCCATTTAAATTAACATTTAATTTATATATCTTGCTGCAGAGTGTATGAAATTGAGCCTCTACTGTAAAACAGCGAATACATATTTATTATATATTATAAATAATTATTACTTTACTATATATTTGTTCACTCGCAATATATGAAACAACATTAATATTTACTATATATTTATTTACTCGCAATATCTAAAATAGCATTAATATTCACTTTAATATATTATTTTTTATATATGCTTATACTGTATATAAACCTGCTATGTAGCTTGAAAACTGTAAACAGACTATAGTTAAGGCTAATGAATACTAACAGGAAAAAAATCTGATTAATGCTATTAATAATGTATGTAATATTCAAACATACTGTAAAAGCAATAAATCATAAGCCACCTGAGGCCTACTGATGTATTATGCATTATACAGTACATACATATATATATATATATATATATATATATATATATTCCAAAAATACATTGTATGTGTCAAAATTATTGATTTTTCTTTTATGCCAAAAATCATTAGGATATTAAGTAAAGATCATGTTCCATGAAGATATTTTGTAAATTTCCAATCGTTCATATATTAAAACTTAATTTTTGATTAGTTATATGCATTGCTAAGAACTTCATTTGGACAACTTTAAAGGCGATTTTCTCAGTATTTTGATATTTTTGCACCCTCAGATTCCAGATTTTCAAATAGAGGTATCCCGGCCAAATATTGTCCCATCCTAACAAATCATATACCAATGGAAAGCTTATTTATTCAGCTTTAAAAAATTGACCATTATGACTGGTTTTGTGGTCCAGGGTCACATATAGAGAAATATAGAGAGTCACATACAGACACAGTATAAGAGCTGTGAAAAAAATGCTTGATTTTCAGTTTTCTTTGTATATTTTTACACTAAATATATGCATAAAAGTGACCCTTCATGAATAAAAAACACAAGTTAAATCTTCCATGCATTTAATTTAGACTGGAAGATTGCATAATTGCAATTTTAAACACCAATAAAAAAAAAAGCACAACACTTGTGTGTCATTTTTACCACTTCTACCATAATCCACAATCAAATCTGATCTCATAAAAATGTCAAAAATGTGCAGAAATTGAAATTCAGATGGGAAGCAAACACTTTTTCACAGCACTGACACACACATTCACACAAACACAAAAAACAATCACAGATCTGACCTGCCACTACTTACCGTCTCACTGATTTATGCTAATCGAACCGTTGCTCTCTAAACCAAATTCAGTCCACTAAGGACCCGCAGTGTGTGTATGTATAGCTGTTTATCTGTTTGTGCATGTGTCCTCTCACTCACATGCTGTTGAAGAGCTCTCTGTACGTTTCGTCTCCTTTCCCCTCTGACATCAGGCTGTCCAGCTTGTCGATAAGTTTTGCCTCCACCTATTACAAATAATGAAAATATGGCAAATATGGCATTATAAGCGCTACAGTCAGATAGCTGCATGTCCAATTCGTGACCAGAAGGGGGGGCTGTGTGACCTGTTTGAAGTTGCCGCTCCGGCGCTGCTCCCAGTCCATCATGTCGTGAAAGATGGGGATCATCACGTTCCTCAGGTCCGGCTGAGGCACCAGCGTCACCTCCAGGAACGGGCCGATCATCGCTGGGATGAAGTTCAGCTTGTGCTCTCCTGCACGACAAGATGGAAACTTTCATTTCTCATGTAAGAAAGACTCGCGAAGGGGTGAAGCTTTCAGATATTAGTTAACGTCTTACCTAAATTCTGCCACATGCTAAAGATCTCACATCCCATCATGACACGCATGTCTCCGTACCTGAACACAAATGAATGCAAAATACTGTTACAATACGTCCTCCTACGCCAGTTGTTCAAAATATGATTGAGACATTTTTTAAACTGACTTCCTGAAGAATGTAAACTCAAGATGTCCAAAATAGAAATATGTCTTCTTATTATCCATGTTGAAAACACCTAAAAAGATTTTTATTATAAATATATATATATATATTTTCTTCAATATTGATAATAATAAGAATTGTTTTTGAGCAGCAAATTGGTATATTAGAATGATTTCTGAAGGATCATGTGACACTGAAGACTGGAGTAATGATGCTGAAAATTC